TGCTCTCCAATGGTTCGAATCCACCACCAGGTCCACAGCAGAAAGATGACCAATCTCTTCCCATGCAATTTTAGACTCAGAAACCCAACACAGGTCAGTTATGAGTTGATTCTGACTCCACAACAATGAGTTTGAATTTGTAGTGGTGGGGTTTCCCCCCCTTTTTTTTCAGTACAGTGATGGGAAGCAAGAGTGGCCTACACTTCCTAAACAACATGCCTCTGGAAACTCTATGAAATTTGATAAATGATGCTAGTTCTGGAAAGGCATCAGGCCTTTTGTTCATAGGGTCACTATGAGTCGTGCTTGACTCAACAACATAGTGGTGGGAATATAAATTGGCACAATTACTTTGGAAAACAATTTGACCTTATCTATTGAAATTTATGTTGTGCTTATTTCTTTACCCAGCCAATCCACTAGAAATATAGACTTTTGTGTCACATAAAAGAATATTCATAGCAACATTTCTTTTTCCTATTTTAAATAAAGATGCAGTTAAATAAAAAGTAGCAGGAATTTTTTTTCCACCTGTGATTTATTGATACAAAAGAGTTAACACTCAGCAGTGGGAAGGAAGGAATATTACTGTGGTAGACTCTAAGGTCAGTTCTGACTCTTGGGAAACCAAGTTTACAGAATCTCTTTATGGTGTCTCCACCTGGCACAGATGGTTAAATGCTGGACTAGGACTTTGAACCCATGAAAAAAAAGCCTGGTAGCCTGACTCTCACTGTAATAAACACGGACACATGATAGGAGAAGATACAGTTTAATTCAATTCCTTATAGATCATACAGTGAAATAAAATGATAAAAGGATAGCAAGCAGTTAGAAACACCTGGAAGTTCCCTTTATCAGACAGGAGGAAGAGGCAACAGAGGAAGCGTATATGATGCCTTAAAGGAAAGGCAATAGGCAAGGAGAAGGTGCATAAGGGATTGTTAAAAATTATTCTTTATATTTTTATTATATCACATGTGTTTCTATATATGCACATATAGTCCATTACATGTATGAAATAATTTTAAAAATTTGAATGTCTGTAGAAAAAAAATCAGGTTATAATGTTTCAGAAAACTATCAATTAGAGTGCTATATACTTACCTCAACTGCATCTATGTTGCAAGTGCTGTTTTTGCTTCTCAGTGTCCCCTATCCGCCAGGGTGGAGTATTACCTTGTATCATCTCATTGGTACTGTCACACCCTACAGTTCAATATATGCTGAATGAAAAAGTAATCAACCCAAATGGACCTGCATTTCTAGAAGAACGAGGAAAACTGAAAGTCTGGGCAGTGACTACTTCTCTTATTTCCTCTCATGGTTTAGCACATTACTGTAATCATAGAGCTGTCCCTTTGATACCCTTCTTCAACCTCTCTGCCCTGTTGTTTAAGGTGGGAAATATTAGAGCCATGAGATTAATCTCAAATACATTAGTCAGAAATTCTTCCTTCTGCTTTCAGAGACAGTGGCCTTAAAAGCAGTCCTGCTACCACTGCCCTTGTTTTCTGCAGCCACATATTCACTGGTCATCCATTTGAGTCAACCAAGGGGCTGAGTGGTTTAACTCTGTCCTGGGTCCTAGAGTTATTGCTGTCCAAGATGATTCTGTGGTCTATTCTCAACATGCACACACAAATGCACACACACCTTCCCCCCCCCCCCACACACAGAGCACCCCTGGAAGGAACAGTCAAATGATCTGCTTGTACTTTTTCAACTCAAATTTGTCACTTTCATGCGTGGAGTTCTTGATGCATGAGTGGAGGTGAGGGGAGAAGAGAAACACAGCATCTCAACTAAGCAGAGAACTTTCATCTGAACACAGAACAGCAGAAAGGGCATGAAAAATGGGAGGGAACAAACACTTCATTTTCAGAATAGCTGTTTTCTGGAATTTATTCTCCTTTAATGCTGACGTGCTGAATATAAAATCCCATTATTTCAACAGCACGATTAGTGACCAAAGCACACAAATGGAAATCTAAAAACAGTGACTATATACATCCTGACCCCCGAGAAAAGCTGAGAAATGAAAGGTATGTCTAGGAAAAAAAACAAAACTATATGGCAAAGTCAAACAAAACAAAGTGGCTTTGGAACCTTTCTGTAACAGAAAATAAAAACAGAAGCTTAGTTTATGATAACAGGTAATATAAAAGTGTCTAAGTAGGCATGCTGAGCTAAACCTCTGGAAACAGGAATAAATCTAAAATATATTAGTTCCAAGGTGGGGACTTCTTTTTTCTTTCTTTCTTTTTTTTTTAACTTTAACAGAAGATCAGAATTTGGGGAAAAGTATATATTTTCCAAATGAAATTTTCATCTGGTCTCCATACACTTAGTAGTATGGTCCTCCATACATTTTATCCAATTTTCTGACAAAATGGCAGAATTTTTTTTTTAGGAACACTATTTCCTTTGCCCCAAAATGAGCCGTCACAGGAGAGGAAACAAAAGTTGTGTCTTGACATGTCCTTCACCCTACATCTATGCTTGCAATTCCCATTCACTTCTTAGTTTTTTAGGATCTATTTCTCAAAAATTAAAGGCAGCTAGTTAAAAACAAGAAAATCCTTTCTACATGTTTGTAATTCAACTGGTAAAGCAATACAAGTAAATCTTCTCTGAGTATGGTGTGGTCCCAAGGACAATCCCTGGGTAACCATCACACATTATGCTTGGTAGTATAGCCCACAGCGAGCTTCTCTGCAAACCTAAGGTGGTGCCTCTCTGGTGGTTCAAATGCACCAGCAGCAAGTAGGGAGAAGGATGGCAAGCTCCTCTTGTGAGATTCACAGCCTCTGAAAACCCCCTTAAGGGTCAGCGATAAGTTGATTCAGACTCTAAGGAAATGTGTTTGAATCTGATGCTTCTAGGACACAACAGCACAGTACCAGCTGGACTTAAGATTCTTTTTTTATCAAAAATAGAAACAGGGTATATACAAAGTGGATGGTATTTAACTGTGTAGTAACTTAGTACTACTGTCCATTTATCTAGAACAGCCACACTGGGTATAGGATGGTTAATTCAAAAGTTGCAAGACAAGCTAACCTGCTGCTTTAGCAAATGTGGTGTTGATCCTATTACCCTGAAATTTAACTCACAAAATCTCAAGCCTACCAAATTGGTTCCTGGTGCTCACTGGCAATATTAGACAAAATAAGCTGTTTAGTTATAACAAAAAAAAAAGGAGGCTATTTCTGGGAGGTGGGGGAAATCTAATTCTTAGAAGACTCATATACTAAATTACCACAACCAGCTAAAAAACCAAAGTCATTCTTGGATAGCCCTGAGATCTTTCAAATGGAATTTAACGTGGACCTTATTTAATGCCAATTCACTAGTAATATTCATATTCAAAAAGAGCTTTCCTTGGACAGAAAATCCTGGTTCACTGGGCATGAGTCTCTTCCAGCCGAGACCTCTGTTTCTTCTGGTGCTTTTCTGGAGGTGGTCTTCAGCTACAACCTCAGGCAGATTTCGACCTCATTATTCAACAAGTTCTTCAGAGTAGTCCACAGTTAGTAAGTGACAGGGGACAAGACTTACTTTCTTTTCCTCTTGAAATTTATTGACTTCGTATTCAGAAATTCAGAAATAAGGTGCTGGGAATAGCAGAATATTCTAGGCAGCCCTTTGAGAGCTTATTCTAGTCAAGGCTCTTCCCACAATTGGCAATTAAATTATCTAAAATATGCAAGTTTCTTTGTAGTGAAGACAAAAATATAGAAAAGCAGGATCTGATTTAATGAAATCAACACATTCCATTTTAATCAGCATCTATTCCAATGAGAGTAGAGATCTGCATGCCAAATACAATCCCAGCTCCTCTCCACACAACCTGATGCCCCTTGCCTGAATCTGCTGTTCTAAAAACTCTGGTATTGTAACTAGAATGAAACTACGTCAATAATACTCCGGGCAGAACTGAGCTTGTGCTTTGGCCAGAAATAGGAGGAAAACAGAAGAACAAGTAACTTAGGGGGGAAAAAAAATTCCTCAGAAATATTGGTATCTTTTATTATGCCTCATCAAGGGTTCACAGAATATATCTAACCATGATCTTCCTCTCAAAAAATAGAATTCCTTCACAAAATAGAATAAGCAGCTGTTAGCTTGGGGAGTTGCATTTAAAAATATTTGTTCACGTAGTACAAACTGCTACAGCTGAAAATTATTTTGATGCTTTTTGGACAATTTTCCTATACATTTACTACCTAATTAGTACACCTCTTAAAATACACCTTTAAAAAAAAATACACCTTTTAAGCAGTCCTATGCATGTAAGTGAAACTTTCCCCTTGGAAGAGATGAAGAAGTATGTATTTTCCAAAATAGCAGTGTAACTTGGTTCTGATCACTTATTATTTCAAGTGATGGGAAACAGTTGAGGAGCATGGAGAACTGACGGGAGTAAGAGGTCCCATTACCAAAAAAAAAAAAAAAAGGAAGCTAGAGCTGCTACATTTTCCAATATATGTTTGTGATTCTCCAGTAAAAATCTTCAATGCCCTTATCAACCATTTTTCGTGTGTTTTTCTTTCTGACTAGAAGATGCTAACAGGCTGGCAGATCAATTTCAAGGATGAAATCCAGGAGACTTAGAGGAGTGGGTTCGAGCAACACTGGCATCTCCGATCACCCAAAGCAGCCCCAGCCCCTTCTCTCTGATGGCGTCTCCCACATCTCAGTCATTGAGGAAGCACATCCGTAACAGGTGACAGCACCTCCCGTCCCACAGGTGAGCAGGGTGACTGCAGGCAAATCTGAGAAGAAAAAAAGGCCCACCACCATGGTCCTGATTTGGTTTAAAGCAACTGCACAATCCCCATTACACTCATGTCTTCCCCAAACACTTCCTCTGTGGCAAGCGAAGTTACAGGTGATGCATGTGGCTCTTATCACAGTGATGCATGAAGGGAGCAGGTGTGTGCCGAGAACCAGAAGGGGCGGCGCAATGCATCTTCATCATCTTCTGGGTTTCCTTTCTAAGGTTCTGCCTGTATGTTTAAAGAAAGAAAGAAAAGCAGTTACCGCATTGCACCAGCATGCAAATCCACCCCTTGCAGGGCTTTGTTTTTTAAACAGTAGGAGCAGACACTGAAAATCGCAATAAATTAACACCTATATTACAGATAAATGTAAAGCTCAAGACCAGGGCCTAGGATTAAATCACATCCACCTGGGCTGCCTGGGATAAAGATGAAAGGAAAGCCATGAGTTTTCAAGACTCCTCTGAGTAATGCTGTGGCCCTCATTTCTAGGTTGGAGGACATGGAGGGTCACCTCATGAAGGGGGCCTTCACTGGCTATGGTGATCCAAACTGAAGGACAGAAGCCCTAAAATCCTCCCAGTGCCACTCCTGCCCCACCACTAACAGCCTGACACCTGACATGGGGGCAAAGTGTCTATAACCTGCTCCAACTCTGATTGGGTAGGTCCGAGGAGGCACATTCTGAGTATCACCTTGTCTGCCAGAGACTTGAAATCAGGAATTTCTACTAGAGGCCCTGATGTTGTTGTTAAGTGCCATGGCGTTGCAGGTGACTCATAGCGACCCTATGAAGGAGACGCTTGAGTGCCTTTCATCCTCTCTCCAGGTTCATAGGGTTTCTGGAGGCAAGCTATTATGGAAGTGGAGGCCACTTCTCCTTCCAAGCTTGTTTTAATCGGGGAGCTCCACCCCACTCTCTGTCCGCATTGGGTAGCCAACCATCAATGCATTTGACACATCAGTGTCACAGGGGCCCTACTGGAGCTTATTATGCTTTGACACAGTAACACAATGTATTGTTTTCTACATGATCACCACTGAGAAGGCCTTCTCTCTTAGGGGCTGAGTGTACAGTGGTGGGTCAGGGGCAAGCCTCTGGGGATGACATGTCCATGTGCTGGGCAGCCCTTGCAGCTCCAGTCACTAGAGGGATTCCACAGTTTCCCACTCTGAGAGAAGCTCTGAGTCTAGATTTTAAATATGGCGGCCTACTGGGTAAGGCATTGCACTACCAACCCAAAGTCACACCGTTCAAATCCAGCAAATGGTCTGTAGGAAAGATGGGCAATCTCATCCCGTGGAACTGGCCGACTCTGGAAAGCCAGCTATACATTAGTTCTGACTCAGCGGTTTTGCTGCAGAGGGGAAAAAAATATACAGTAAGAGCCAGTGTGTTCTTCTGGACCTTCCTCTACTTTGACCACTGGCCTTTTCTGCTCTATTTTTTTTTTTCAATTATAATGAGTAAATACATAAGAAAAATCCCTATTTCTATGTGTTTTTTTTTTACATGCACAAGTCAGTGGCATTAGTTATGCTCATGTTGTGCAAATATTACTTAATCTGTATTCACATTTTGCCATAAGCCTTAAAAGAAGCTTTGAATGCCCTAAGCACATTCCTTTCTCCCTCAGTCCCTGGTAATATCTAATAGACTTCAGTCTCCATATCTTTGCCTATACTCTTTCATACATATGGCATTATACAATACTAGTTCTTTTGTGACAGATTTATTTTACTCAGCATGTTCTCAAGGTTCGTCCAATTAAGGTTAAAAATCTATCAGGACTTCACTTCTTTTTATGGCTGAGTAAAATATTACATTGCATGTACAGAACATATTTTGCTCGTTCATTCATATGCTGATGAAGATTTGAGTCAACTGTGTCCACCTTTTTTGGCTACTGTGATAGTACTGCCATGGCCACTGGTATACAACTATCTGTGTTTCTGCTTTCAGTTCTTTTGGTGCTCTACTTGAGATCAGCCCAGTCAGAGCCTATGCTTGAACGTGTGCGTCTGGGGTCCAGGAACCTCCTTTTCTACCTGTTTCTCTCCCCTTTCATCATCAGTAGATTACTGTGTAATTAGAATTACCTATTTTTTACCTAAACCAGTAATTTTCCTTAAGTAATAATATTTAAAGCAAGTTTATTTATGAATTTCTAAGGGGTCATGGTACTAGGAATATTGTAGCTAATGTTAGATGGATGTTGGCTGTACGCTGGGAGTACCAGAGGAGTGTCTATCTGTGTTTCCTTGATTATGCAAAGGCGTTTGACTGTATGGATCACAACAAACTGTGGCTGACTCTGAAAAGAATGGGAATCTCAGAACACTTGATCGTGCTAAGGCCAAGAGGAAGTCATCAGAACAGAGCAAGGAAACATTGCATGGTTCAAATTTGGGAAGGGTGTGCATCAAGGATCTGTCCTATCTCTATGTATTTTCATTCTATATGCAGAACAGATTATCTGGGAGGCTGGGCTCTATGAGGAGAAATGTGGCATCAGGATTGGAGGAAGATTCATCAACAGACTGCATTATGTAGATGACACAACCCTGCTTGCTGAAACTGAGGCATACCTGAAGCACTTGCTGCAGAAGGTCAAGGACTACACAGCCTTCAATATGGATTGAGGTTCAATATCAAGAAAACAAAGATTCTCACCACTAGGTGAATTGGCAGCATCACGATAAATGGTGAAGAGATCGAGATTGTTAACAGTTTTAGTTTGCCTGGCTCAGCAATCAACACTCTTGGCACCAGCAGCCAGGAAGTTAAAAGACATATTGCGATGGGAAAGTCTGCTGTTAGGGTCCTCTCTAAAGTACTGAAGAGCAATGATGTCAGTCTGGAGACTAAGCTGTGCCTGATACAGGCCATGGTCTTTGCAATCACTTGCTATGCATCAGAGAGCTGGACAATGATTAGGGATGACAATAGGAGAATCGATGCCTTTGAGCTGTGGTATTGAAGAAGAGTATTGAATATACTATGGACTGCTAAGAAAATGAAATGGTTCATCTTAGAGAGTGTTAAACCAGGCTCCTCCTTGGAGGCAAGGATTCAGAAGCTTCGTCAGACATATTTTGGAAATGTTGCAAGAAGGGACCAGTCCTTGGAGAGTGACATCATGTTTGGGAGGGTGGAGGGACAGTGCAGGAGAGGAAGATCTTCTATGAGGTGGACTGATTCAGTGACTGGGGTAATCGGGGTGGGTGTGTTGGAGACAGTGAGATTGGCACAGGACAGAGCAGGGTTTAGGGCTGTTGTACATAGGGTTGCTATGAGTTGCAGGTGACTCAACAGCATATAACAACAGCAAAAGTAATGTTTACAACCTTCAAACTACTGTTGTTGACTCAATTCTAACCCCAGGTGACCCTTCACAGGTTTCTGAAGTTGGGAATCTTTACTGTAAAAGACAACTTCTTGAGGCAGCTGGTGGATTCAAACTGCTGATCTTTCAGTTAGTAGTAATGCAATAAGTAATGCACCACAACACTTGCATTCTCAGTAACTTTTGATACCACTATATGCACACTAGCACACACAGAAATCTAGCTTCATTTTTTAAGCAATGGTCTCTGTGTTGGGAGCCTTGTGTTTACCCAGGGAGTCTCCCTATTTTTTAAAAAAGGTATTTCCAAGGAAGTCAGTTCTATTGGCCATTGAACACTCTGATCTCTCCTTAAGAAGTATGAGTACCTAAAGAATATTCTGGCCATTACATAACAGTAAAATATATGAAAGGCTAGAAAGGTAAGAAGAGTCTTATATTTTCCTACATTTTTAAAGTAGATTGTTGGGATCTCTTCAAACTGTAAGCAGAATGCACATATTTAAAACACAGACTAACCTATCAATGGAAAAAAGTAAGTGATGAGAGTTAGGAAGGGTGAATGCTGGATTATTCCCAGAGATATTCTTGCTTTTCTCCTTTGAAGATGAGATATGTGTTGCTATGAACCCCTTGGGTCCAGGACGGTTCTTGAGAGAGGATCACATTGGTCCCACAGGAGATATTCACTCTGTTTCCCTGGGTGCTGCCCAGGCACCTAGAAAGGTCTGACCAGGGCAGGGGGAGCGGGAATGCCCCAGGCTCCTTCCTGTCTTTGGGAAGATCTCTTAAGATTAAGTAAATGTCAGTGGTACCAAAGCTATTTCATAACCACACACCATGTGCAAATGTATATCCCACACATTATAGACTTCCTAGGAAATTTTAAGATAACAATATTTAAAAAAAAAAAAAGAATGAAGGTGATAACCTTCAGATTCACCAAGAAATTTGGGGGGGCAATCAAAACAAAGATGGTATGCACACAGTCATTTTTCAAAGGTTCTTTTGCCCTCTGGATGTATTTAGCCATCATATTATCTGTAACCAAGTCTTCTCCTCTCTCATTCTTTTTCTTTTTTTAATTTCCCCCCTCTCAGTTTTTTGACACTAATTCTGGATTGTACAATATCTTCTAAAGAGAAGAGAAGTATTATAAAAATACTGTAAAAATTTACATATAACAAATAGTCAAGTAGTCACAGTTTATAAAAATAGTTTTAAGAACTTTTAAATATTTTATGTGTGGGTTTTGCCTCTGCTTAAACCATATGCATGGAAACCACCCACAGCCGTCTGTGGACTTGTCGATGTAAAAAGAAAGATTTAACAGCAATTACGTACTGCAGGTGCTGCTGCGTAATTTCTATTACTGATGGTTTCTGCTTTCCTCCTACAGCTGTTTCAGAAATGGCACAAATCAGGGGCAGCCTGAAAAGAACCTATTACTTAAAGGCACCAGAGTCCCTACTAATGCGCTTTCATTTCAATTCAGTGTTAAATACAGACATTTTAGAAGTCAGTCTTGATGTTAGATACAGTTGAAACCTCAGTCACAACGTAAAAATTATTGCAAGAAAACACACCAAAAATAGTGTGGTTTGCTCTTGGTAGTAGGAAGGGATGGTTTTTATTTTCTACTTTATACTTTCTATATTTCCCAATTTTGTTGTTGTTAGGTCCTGTGAAATCGACTCCAAATCACAGCAATCCTATGAACAACAACAGATGGAAACCGTGGCCTATCCTGACCCATCCTTTGTAAATGAACAAAAGTTATTTTCATGAATGAATGGAAATCCAAAATCTCTGTAAATGCTCATTAAAATTATTTTTTTTTAAAGTTATTTTCATAATCAGGAAAAAACCCCGAACATTTTAAAAGGGGGAAATAACAAGAGTATTAGCTTATTTAAAAAGTAAATGTGTTTTCTTATTTTGAAGATGAGCTCGCATGCTTCACGAAGTTGTAGTAACATACATCATTAGTTCTAAACACTGTAAAGGCCTTGGTCCTCAATGCTCTCCAAAAGAATATGTGACATAATAAAATGGCTTCAAAACATGCTCATTAGCTTAAGAATTTTAGCATTTTTTCCAACTTTACTGCAAATCATCTCCTTTCCAAGAAAACACGTTAAATACACAAAAGACCCTAAAACTATGGCTTTGGTTTTGCTATTTAAAAAAATATAAAGCAATATAAACTTATGGCTTTAAATAGAAAGCACCTACTACTGTTTGCTACCTTAAATTCTTTTTTTTTAAATGGGATATAACTCATAAATAAACTAGTACTTAAATATTCAACAACAATTAAAAACTAGCAAGAATAAAAGGGGAAGGAAAAAAACCAAACCAGTTTTTGTGCACATTTCATCACCAACGTTTGCCATTAAGTTAATTCCGACTCATCATGGCCGTTTTGTGATAAGGGTAGAACTATCCCACAGCACTTTCTTGGCTGTGAGTTTTACAAAAGCAGAGTGCCAGGTGTTTCTCCCATGACAGGTGCAGTCAAACCTTCAGGCTTACTGCTGCACTACCAGGACTCACACTAGGCAGTCTCTGTGCATTTGAGAAAGTGAAAGCTAACCAACCGTTGCTATTGTTGTTAGGTGCTATTGAGTTGAGTATGACTCACAGTGACCCTAAGAACAACAGATTAGAATCCTATCCTGTGCCATTCCCATCAGCTCTGAACCCTTCAATCCTAGGAACAACCTGAAAGATGACTTCTGAAACAATGAGAAAAAATGTACTTACCTCTGATGCCAACCTTGGTTTCAAGCCTAAGAATGAAAAAACTGTGTTGCTTTCTTTTGATTCAAAAAAACTGTCATAATCCTAGAAGAATGAGGAAAATAAAACCAATGAAGAACACAAACAATTATCTTTCTTTTTGGTAGTTTCAATACATTCTAGATTAAAAAGAAATTATCACTCTACTAGACAGGCTAGAAGAGCTACATACATTTCCTGGATGTATTCTGCTTGAGCTTAAATCACTTTCAGTGATGAAAGCAGGAATGTTTTTGACTCAGTGCCTGCAAAATACATGACATACGAATTGAAACAGAAGAACACTGATTTCCCTTTATGTGCCAAACTAACATTTACCTGTGTGGAAATCATTCAAATCTATGATTTTAATTCTTAGATTTCAATACGAAGGTGAGTGCCAATTTCACTCTTGATATTCTGTTAATGAGAGTTTAAAACAACTCCCTGAATGAAGAGAAAGTCATGTCAGGGCTAGTTTATCTCTACTGCTTTTTGAAGGTTTTTTCGTGTTCTTTAACACTAAGTTTTCAGAGAGCATAGGCAAGGATTCTGAGGCTCCGTCTAACATACTTTGGACATGTTATGAGGAGAGACCAGTCCTTGGAGAGGGACATCATGCTTGGGAGGGTGGAGGGACAGCGCAGGAGAGGAAGGCCCTCTATGAGGTGGATTGATTCAGTGACTGGGATAATTGGGATGAGAGTGTCAGAGACAGTGTGATTGGCACAGGACAGAGCAGAGTTTAGGGCTGTTGTACATAGGGTCGCTATGAGTCACAAGCGACTCGATGGCACATAACAACAACACAACAACATAGTTTGTTACATGCCAATGAGTTGGTTCCAACTCTCAGCAACCCTATGCAGAACAGAAAGAATGAAACACAGTCTGGCCCTATGCCACTCTCAATAGTTTAGAACCCTTGAGCCCATTCATTGCTGCAATTGCCGGGTCAATCCTTCCTGTTAAGAAACAAACTGACACTCTATAACAATCCAAGGACTGGCCCCAAATACACAGATGAAGTCTTGGTGTTCTTACTACTAAGGAGCATTCTGATTCTATTTCATCCAAGACAGGTTCATTCTTCTGGAAGGCCATGGTATATTTAATATTCTTCACAAACATCTCAATTCAAAGGCTTCAAATCTTTTTCAGTTCTCCTTCTTTGTGCAGCTTTCACCTGCACATAACCGAAAATACCAAGATTTGAGTTACTGGGCATCTCAGTTCTCATAGTAACACCTTTGCTTCTGAATACTTTAAAAGGTCTTTTTGTAGCAAATATGCCCAAGGTAATTTGACATTTGACTTCTTGACCACTGGTTCCACATCAAATTGATTTGAGGTTCTAGTAAAATGAAATTTTTGACAGCTTCAATCTTTTATCATGATGTTGCTTATTGGTCCAGTTTTCAAGGTTTTGTTCCCTTTATGCTAAATTATTATCCACACTGATAGCTATAGCCTTTGATCTTACTCAGCAAATGTTTCCTCTGTGCTTGTATTATCTGCAAAAAGGTTAATGAGTCTTTCTCCAATCCTGAGACCTTGTTCTTCTTCATATATATTCAAGCTTCTCAGATTATCTGCACAGTATACAGATTGAGCTGTACAGTGAAAGGTTATAACCTCCTATTTCTCCTGTTTTTAAACCATGCAGTGTCTATTCTGTCTCAAGGATTGCCTCTTAGTCTATGTTCAGGATTCATAAGAGCATAATTAAGTGTTCTGGCATTTCTATTCCTTGCAAGGTGATCCACAATTTCTCATCTTCACAGTCAAACACTTTTGCACAGGCAGTAAAACACAAGTAAGGAACCTTCTGATATTTTCTACTTTTAGAGAAGATCCATCAGTTATCAGCAATGATTTCTCTTGTTCCATGTCCTCCAGTGATATTTGTTTGGATTTCTGGCAGTTCCCTGCAGAAGTACTGCTTTAACAATTTTTAAACGCTATTCAGCAAAATTTTCTTTATATTTCATATCAATGATTCTGTTAGATGACTTAAACATTCTGACATCACAAATATGGTTGCTAACTTCTATGCATATAGTAGTGCACATATCTAGTGTGGTGTCTTGTTATTTACTAATATCTTCCGTTCAGCCTAGACTTTTCCTTTTAATACTCCTGGTTCTTAATCCTACGTTACCTCCTGAAATGACTGGCACATTGACCAATTCTTTTTGATACAGGACTCCGTATTCATTCCATCTTCTTTTAGCATTTCCTGTGTTGTACAATTTCCCCACAGAATCTCCCACTATTGATTGTAACTGTAGATCAGACTTTTAAAAAAATACTTCATCCCTGAGGCATACTCAACTGGGAGAAGTACAGAATAAAGTATTTCTTTTTTTTAAAATAATTATTTTTGTTTTTTACAGAGGTTTTGGATTTCCATTCATTCATTGCCGCAATTTTCTCCCTTCCCACCCCTCCCCACCAGCTCGCTTCCCCCTCCGAAGGGAGAAAAAAAGAAAAAGAAAAAAAATTCCTTCATTAGTATACAATTCCCACGTCCCTTAACCCCACCCCCTACCCCAGTACACTTCTCTATGCAACCTTAATTCTGGATTCCTGTGCTAACCATAATACTCAATCATATATCACTTCTAATCTGTTTTTTCCCTCATCTATTTCAATACAATATACATAATTTATCCAGTTTTTTTCTGTCATACCCCCACCCTGATGTCAGACCCATT